TAGCTATTGATACAGAAGATGGAGTCATTGTTGTGAAGTGGCTGGATAGTAATGCTGTTAGCGTGGCCTCTACCTGTCATGGAGTAAATCACACTTCTTTAGTGAAGAGATTCTCTCAGAAGGAAAAAATAAATTAAGCAGGAATCGTGGCCCATTTTCACTTGGTTGCTGGACACAAGTGTAGTAAATGCATGGTCTGTAATGCGAAAATGCAGAGGCATACCACCAATAAGTCAGCTAAATTACAGAAGACAAATCGTTTTGCATTATCTTGAGAAATACAAAACAGTTTCAAAAGGATCAGGAAAGCCATCTACATCTAAAAACAGCGTTACGCTAAACCGGGTGTCTGATGGTATTAGATATGATCATGTTGACCATTTATTAGTTTCAACTAGGAATAAAAAAAAAAAAACCGTTGTGCTGGTGAAGATTGTTCCTCAAGCATCCGAACAATGTGTTCTAAATCTAATAGTCCGGGGGCCGAGGACCTTTTTTCCAAATCATTAATAACAAGCTAGTTTTTTCAATGCAGCTTCATTTCACCGAGACGCCCAACTTTTTTCTCTTCGAAAATTGCGAAAACAGGTAGCTAACATACTGCGCAGGTGTAAAACATGTCGATTTGGTGACTATGAAAATTTAATTAATAACAGTTAGTTTTTCAGTTAAATGTTGAGATAATTTTATGAATAATTTGAAACAACATTTGTCCGACAAAATAAAGGGTTTGGTCTACGATGTCCCCCCCTCAAACATGTAGCAATTACGTTGCATAAAAAATGATTAATAACAAGTTGATTTTTTCAATGTAGGTTGGTAAATATTATTACAATTAAATGGTCACACTGTCCTACAAATAAACAGGTAGCTATTTTCAGTCCTACACTCAAAAGTTGTCGATTTCACGATTTAACTTTTTTCATTAATAACCGGCTAAATCTTCGTGAGTATCTTCATTTTGATAAGACGCCCAAATTTTCTGTTGCGAAAATTCCAAAAACAGGTAGCTAACAGAGTGTGCAGGTGGAAAACATGTCTATTTGGTGATCATACAAATGTAAATAATAACAGTTAATTTTGTAGCTGAATGTTGAGATAGTTTCATAAATAATATGAAACAACATTTGTCCGACAAAATAAATGGTTTGATCTAGGCTATCTCCCTTCTCAAACATGTAGCAGATACGTTACATAAAAAATGATCTATAACCAGTTGATTTTTTTAATGTAGCTTAGTAAATATTACTACAATTAAATGGTTACACTGTCCTACAAATATAGAGGTACATTTCTCCAGTCCTACACTCAAAAGTTGTCGACTTCACGGTAATACTTTATTCATCAATCACCGGACACCGGCTTAATCTTCTCGAGCATCTTCGTATTGATAATACGCCTAACTTTTCTATTGCGAAAAGTTGCAAAAGTAGTAGCTACTAGAGTGAGCACTAGTGAGCACATAGCACATGTAGAATACCTTGATTAAGTGATTATGCAAATGTAATTATTAACAGTTAACAGTTAATTTTTCAGGTGAATAATGAGATAATTTTATAAATAATTCGAAATTCGATTTGAACCACAAAATAAATGGTTTGGTCTTCAGTGTCCCCTTTCTCAAAAATGTTATCTCAACATTTAGCTGAAAAACTAACTGTTATTAATTAAATTTTCATAGTCACCAAATCGACATGTTTTACACCTGCGCAGTATGTTAGCTACCTGTTTTCGCAATTTTCGAAGAGAAAAAAGTTGGGCGTCTCGGTGAAATGAAGCTGCATTGAAAAAACTAGCTTGTTATTAATGATTTGGAAAAAAGGTCCTCGGCCCCCGGACTATAATGTTGGTATATGTAACTATATTTTTCACAATAAATAAACCTTTTTGACAATTTGCAACAGATATTTGAATTTCTATTATTTTGTACATCACTAACGGCTAGTGTTACCATATGGCAACGGCACTTATATTGCAAAAAAAAAAAACAAAAAAATATTAAGAAGTTGTTGAAAGAACTTAACTTAATCATAATAATAAGGAATTATAACCTGGCACAACATATTTCTAGGAAAAAAATCTGCCGTTGAAGAGTTAAGGGAGACAATGCCCTAGATCCTCGTAAGTTATCAATTTATTTAGAAAACAAAGCGCGCTTAAGGGAGACAATGCCATAGGTACACATGCCTTCCTCCTCGTCTTCATTGGGTTCCACTAGTACATACCTCGATCAACAAGTTATCTTCGTCAGACGCTTCCTCTACATCTAATGGCTTTTTGTCTGTTGGCAAAGCCCCTCTAAGCTTAAGGTCACTGAAATCTTCGATAATTTGCAACTCTGTTGACGGGTTCAGGCAGGCCTGAAAAACATGGATTAGGCCTACTAGGGCGGACGACATTGATTTTGTGCCATCTGGAAGGATTTTTAACTTACCCGTCGATGGCATAGGACCTCGATTAAAAAAAAAGAAAGGACGATGAAGCGCAAAAATTGCTCAAAGACAGTACTATCATTTGTAGTGTTCGTGAAGATGGATAGTAATTATATTAATTACACAAAATTTGTTTTTCAAATTGAATGGTAACTTGGGAGAACTAAATCGCAATAGGTGGGCAGATTAGTCTAAGTAGGTTTGCATTTTCTTGATTATCATTGATTGAATTTGATATGTCGATGTTTTGTCAAGATTTCGTCGTTTTAAATATTGCTCTTTTAATATAACGGTCTTTCGATATGTCGCTCAAAAACTGACTTCATATTCGTGATCAGCGACGAAAAATATACCTTTGTGCAAAAAATTAGCGAAATAATAGGAGATACAACATAAAATCTTCTAGGATGGATATTCCAGATACGAAACGCGAGCGACAAAAATTGACTTCAGATTTCTGACCAGCGACCAAAAATGTACCTTCCTACAAAAAATCATCATAAATTCGAGGAGGTAAGGGATAATAGATAATTACCAAAATCGTCCTTAATTAATTATTTTCTAATAATGTGGAAGTCGAGGTCAAAAATGACACAATTATCGCGTATAAAAAGGCATGTCGGCCTTGTTGCCAATTTCTAGATATTCAAAATTTACCAGTAATAATAGTATCTGATGCTGATGATCAATGAACGAGCCAAGAAATAGATTTCAGTTAACAGGGTTTAATATCTATGACAACTACAACAGAAACAGTATATCTCGAAGTGATTTGGCTTCATCCAGTTCTTACACATCATTTCGCCCATTAGGAACTGTTTTAAAATATTTTTGACCTGAATGAATTTATAAAAACCGACATTTTTGGCCCCAAGCTTTATTACTAAAAGCTCAAAGAGAAGGTTTGGCTAACGTTGAACGTGATCGATTGGCTAACTTGCTGGTGAGACCCCTCTGAGGTGAGACCTCTAATGAATAAACTTTGAAAATTATCGAGTAATGATTTCCAGAATCTTTCTGATAAAATTACAGAGATTTTTCCTCGAAAAAAAAGTTCAACTTATTATGTGCCTGCCACACAAAAATATTTCTGCAAGACACCATTTAGACAAGGCCCGAGGAAAATTAATTGACAAACAATGAAATTTATTGCATTTGCTATGAATGTTCAAATACTACCAAATGAAACGAATAACGTTGAAGATGAAGGTATTTATAAAAAAAAAATATTGATTACTATTTATTTTCTAATTTCTTTTCAGATTCATCGCAATCCCACAGACCAGTCAAATATGTTATAAAATAAATAACGAACACACTACAATTACTACAACAACTCACCTGTTATTATAATGTGTAAATTATACAACCAAAAGCGCTTACAATTTGATATTTTGTCACGAAACGTCTCTGCTTCGCTGTGTAGCTCGACTATTCACCCTGAAAAGCAGAACGGGAAGGGAGGAGTAACAGGGAAACACCAGAACAGTTTTAAATAGCTAATATATATTGTTACAGGACGGAGATTACGGAAACATGAATATTTAGTTATTACCACATCATCGTCATCTGGGACCAGATAACGTCCCTTCGGGTGGTGAGGCTCAAAAAAGGGCGGACAGTCAAACGTCGGGTATACCCCTGCAAGGCTAAACAACCAAACCAGCCCTACAGGAAAATCTAGAAAGCCTTTTAACTGTAGGTCAAAGCCTGGGTCGTCAGAGAGTATCTGCCCTGATAGAGATACGATAGCGTATTAACTTTATCAGTCCAGATAGTTCCCCAACTTTGAGTCGTCTCTAAACACCTACTGATTGCAGCGAAGCGCTGAGACACGACTAATTTGCCATAGTGTGGCCCGGGCTTTTATATCCAATATTTGCTGACTATGATTAGGATAATTTGTGTTTTCTTGCTTAGTTGCAGTTATTTGTTATAACCCGTGGTTCAGTGTTTTGAATTTTGTTATAGCCCGTGGTCCCATGTAGGGTTGACACATGCCCCTCCCGATGAAGGCATTGGCCCCACAATGCCCGCGGAGACGTATCTGGCTTCAAAAACTTTAAAAAAATACAAAAACTTTAAATAAAACTTAAAACTACATTATTCATCTTCGGGCGTCTTCTTCTTTGTGATTGGTTCTTTGTGCGTGTCCATTCTTCCATGGCTTCGAACACTAGAACAGTGTCTGCGGTTTGCTTCTACTTCGTTGGTGATTTTTGGTGGGTTTTGGTGGTTCCAAGGCTTGTTTGCCTGGATCACTCTTGTAGATGTTCTGGCTTTGCTTTCATGTCAGTGGTCTCCTTGTGTTCTGACAACGTCTTCTGCTGTGTTGCCTAGGCTTATTGGCTCAGACTTTGACTGAAGGTAGTGGATCTACGTTGTGGGTCTAGGCTAGCAATTGGCCTAGGTTGGTCTTGTAGATGTCGTGGTCTTGGTCCAAACAATTGTTCTTGTAGATGTTCTGACAACGTTTCACGCATGTCGTGGTGTCTAGGTGGTTGGATCCCATGTCGTGGATCTAGGCTAGCGATTGGCCTAGGTTGGTCTTGAAGATGTGGTCTTGGTTCAAACAATTGCTTTTGTAGATGTTCTGGCTTTGTCTTCCGCATGTCGTGGTATCTGGGCTAGTGTATCCAATGTCGTGGATTCTTGGCCCGTGGTTTGCTTTTCGTAGTGGACCTTGTTTCTCGTAGGGGACCTTTGGTTGGAAGCTTGTTCCGTGGTTGTGGCGCTTTGAATAGTGCCCCTAGCTTTTTGAGTTTTCTCCTTTGAAGTTCCCGCTGCCACTGGAAGGTTATCGTTGAGACGCCTCTGCCTTGTTTTACTATACAACAGTGATTAGCAAAGTTTACAAAATTTTCGAGTTTTATTTACATCCTATAGTACGGAAATCTCTTACCTTTTTATCATTTATATATAATAATAATTATCCTTACTTACTATCCCTTGTTATACCTGCTATATACATATATTTTTTGTAACCTAATACCTGACCTTATATTATGTATCCTTATTTATATTATAACTTTATCCCTAATTTCCATTAAGTTGCTGGCCAGCAATATTTTACCTAATATTATTTCATATTTTTATATCCTATTATATCAACTTACAAAAAAAAAATTAAAAATAAAAATTTGTTCATTACGTTCCTGTAATAATTCTTTCGCTTATTTTAGGCTCAAGCCTTGATTTTGCAGTAGGTACTTCCGTCAGCAACCATTGTTGTAGCTGGCGTTGGTTTGCTTAGCTTGCATCTGATTTCATTGTTTTCTAGTTTCTCAATAAGCAATAGGCTATATACCGTGGGTTCTGCTCGAGTATAAGTTTGCTTATTAATCAAATTTTGGTTTATTTTATACACCAAATATATGACGAATATTAATAGCAGACTTGTGTGGTATAGAATAAAGCAATGCTTGCGGTTTTTTGATTATCATAATAATTATGTTTCTATATGCTATATTAAAAATATGCTCATTAAATAAATAGTGAGTAGGTATATTTTTTCTATCTTAAAGTTTTATATTTCCGATGTGGGTCGCGATCCCAATCGATTTCGTACTAATTTTTGAGGCCTCAGTATTCGCTGATTTCCACTATTTCTTCCTCATTTTCATCAACATTACTCTCTGTTTCTGATTCCTCTAACATTTCTTCTAAAACTGGGGACTCCGCTGTCCACGGGTCGTAGTAGGGGAGTATCCTACTTACATGGACCGTGTCCTTTTCTTCCCACCAATTTTTTCCACTTCATAATCGACTTCTAATTTTCTTAAAACTTTGTATGGCCCAAACCATTTTACCAACAATTTTTCGCTGCGGCCTACTTTTCTTACCGGCACGAAAATTTTAACTTTATCCCCAATATCAAACTTTAATTCTCTATGTTTGCTATCGAATCGTTTCTTATCCTTTACTTGTCTTTTGTGTATATTTTCTGCTGCTATTGCCCTTATAGCCAGCGCTTTCTCCCTCAGGTGTAGTATATCCGTTTCCGAGTTATCATCAATCAACATTGCTTCCGACGGTAGAGTCGGTTCCCTGGCAAAAGTTACCATGAACGGGCTTAGCTGTGTGCTATCTTGAATCGCTGTGTTATAAGCGAAGGTGACGAACGGAACGTAACTACACCAGTCAGTCTGCTGTGTGTTACAGTACATTGCCAGCATATCGGCCATTGTCTTATTCAACCTTTCCGTAAGGCCGTTACACTGGGGATGGTACGCTGTAGTATATTGGTTTCTTATTCCCATTATCTTCCCAAGTTCTGTTACTAGCTCGGACTGGAAAACCTTTCCTCTATCACTCAACAGTGTTCTTGGGGCTCCGTATATCAATATAATTTTTTCCAAAATAAACTTCGCCACTGGGCCTGCCTTTCCATTTGGCAGTGCCGCCGTGATTGCGTAGCGTGACGCATAATCTGTCGCAACTATTATCATAGTTTTGTTATTTGAACTTCTCCTAAATGGACCGAGCAAGTCTATTCCCACTTTATCCATGACGCATCCCACTTTAATCGGCTGAAGGGGCCCAGGAGGTTTCCTGTAGGGCTGTCCCTTCCTTGCTTGGCAATCTACGCACCCTTTGACGTATTTTTCAATGTCTTTTAACATTCCATCCCAGAAAAATCGGTTCCGTATTTTGTCTATCGTTTTGCTGAGTCCTAGATGACCACAGGTTGGTGATGCGTGTAATTCCCATTCTAGATGAATCCCCTAGGGCTAGGATGGCTGGGGTCTCTATTTTTGCCATCCCCTTTCGTTTGGGTGCTGTTTTTGGCTTCTGCAGGTGGCTGCGAAATGTCCCTGTTTCCCCCAGTTGTAACATACCGGGCTATTACCATAATTTCGGGGCTTATAATTTCTATTTCTCTGTGGTTGACTTCTGCAACTTGCCGCAGCGTGCCCGATGTTTCCGCAGTTATCACATTTCATGTTGTTCCTATTTGACCGATCCTGATATTGTCTGCTTCTGCATATGGCCGCCATGTGTCCCTTTTTTCCGCAATAATAACACACTACCTGATTCCTGTCATTTTGGGGTGCTTGGTTGCCTGCTCTTGGCGTTCCGTCTCTTTGACTCTGTGGGTCCTTTTCTCCTCCTAACTCCTTCCTTGGCGCTTTATCTATGGTCCCATTCGGCGGATTCGTGAGCCAGTAACAGTGGTAGAAGTTTTCTTCAGTCAACCCTTTGCTGAAAATGGTTACAAATTCTTCTATATCGATGGCATTCTTGTAGTCGTGGTAGAGAACCCTTAATTCGTACAGATAGTCACGGACTATTTCTTTCGAGTCTTGTTTGCGTTCTTCCACTTTCCTTTTTAGTGCCGTCTGGTAGTTGGCGTCTTCAAACTCTTTAGAAAAATCCCTTAAAATGTCATTCCATTTGCTATCTTGATTGTTTTGTTTGTATTCTTGGAACCATATGTTAGCAGCGCCATCTGAAAATGTTTCTAAGTACGTTATTTTTAATGTGTCATCCCATCCGTTTGCTATTGCTGTTCTCTCGTAGCTCCTTACAAATTCGGCCGCACTGCCCCTGCAAGGGTGGAAAGTTGTAGGGCTTATAAATTGAGGAATCGTCGCCTTTCTACCAGTGGCGATTGCGTCTTGGATTGTGGTATTCGCCATAGCTGTTTGTGTTTTCCGATTTGGTGTTGCTTTGTCCTGCTTTGCTACTATCACAGTTTCTTCTAGATTCTCTTCTTCCGAGACTTCTTCACTTTGATGTTTCAAGTAGTTACTTACTCCCGTTCCTAAAATTTCTGAAAAATCCAATCTTAGCTTCTCTCTTCGCTGAAATATTTCGTCTGCAATCTGAGTGCTTTCGGCGTTTGGACTATGTTCGTCTTCGCTCGACGTGGACCTCAAGAAGTAATTTCCTTTTCTCATCAGTTCGATATTTTCCTGACTTGATGGCGAACTTCACATAAATAGACCATCTGCGTCGTTTTCTGTCGATTTGGAAACACTGTATTTTTCTAAGTGGGTCCCCAGTTTATTGCTTGCTACGCATATCGATGTTTTTGTTTTATCGCCTGGCTATTTTAAATTTCGCAAGGAATGTTTAATTTTGATTGTAATTAATTTTTATTAAAGATTATGGCTAAGTATTTTTTTGTTTTATTTATTTCTGGTGTTCTAGGAAAGGGTGAAAGGAAGGTTATTGGGGTTTTTCCTCCTCTTCTGTCCCTGCTAGAGGCCTTCTTGGCCTTCTGTCTTCCCGGGTGGTCCTGGTATCGACTCTTTGTCTAGGTCATCAAGGGGGTCCAGGAAAGCGGCGCCTCCACCAAATGTCACGAAACGTCTCTGCTTCGCTGTGTAGCTCGACTATTCACCCTGAAAAGCAGAACGGGAAGGGAGGAGTAACAGGGAAACACCAGAACAGTTTTAAATAGCTAATATATATTGTTACAGGACGGAGATTACGGAAACATGAATATTTAGTTATTACCACATCATCGTCATCTGGGACCAGATAACGTCCCTTCGGGTGGTGAGGCTCAAAAAAGGGCGGACAGTCAAACGTCGGGTATACCCCTGCAAGGCTAAACAACCAAACCAGCCCTACAGGAAAATCTAGAAAGCCTTTTCACTGTAGGTCAAAGCCTGGGTCGTCAGAGAGTATCTGCCCTGATAGAGATACGATAGCGTATTAACTTTATCAGTCCAGATAGTTCCCCAACTTTGAGTCGTCTCTAAACACCTACTGATTGCAGCGAAGCGCTGAGACACGACTAATTTGCCATAGTGTGGCCCGGGCTTTTATATCCAATATTTGCTGACTATGATTAGGATAATTTGTGTTTTCTTGCTTAGTTGCAGTTATTTGTTATAACCCGTGGTTCAGTGTTTTGAATTTGGTTACAGCCCGTGGTCCCATGTAGGGTTGACAATATGGAATTTAAGTTCTGTGAGTAGGCTTAATGATATATTTTTACAAATGTAGATTTTAATGTTAAGTAACTCTTGGTAACTCTTTACTATTTTTGCTTTCACTTAGGTTAGTCTTTTACCCTACTCTGTAACTGGATGTAAATCTGTAGAGTTTGTAATGAATAAATAAATAAATAAATAAATAAATAAATAAATAAATAAATAAATAAATAAATAAATAAATAAATAAATAAATAAATAAATAAATAAATAAATAAATAAATAAATAAATAAATAAATAAATAAATAAATAAATAAATAAATAAATAAATAAATAAATAAATAAAATGCCTATTTTTTTTTCTAGATAAAAACAAAATGAACTTTAAAGGTATCGGTAAATTATCTGCAAAGTGGGTTACTGATTTGCTGATGACAAATGATTCATCTAGGGCTACAGGCCAATCACCATGAATCATTGGAAGTTAAGGAAAGAATATTCCTAAGAGCCTGGGTCATAGATTATGGAGGATGCAGCCTGGGAAAAAACTGGATTACCTCAAATGTCTATATCTTTGCATAGTTGAATGCTCACGCCATTTTGATCCTTATCGAGGGCCATAGCAATGATCCAGATCTTTTTACCCCTTTGCCTTGTGAAAAATTTTTTAGGCAGACAAGGTCTACGACTTCAACATGGTCGATTTTTGTGAATTTCGATATTTAGATGTCAATAACAAATTGACCACCAAACGAGAAAGAAACACCGTAATGCTTGGCTCAACTTTCTGGTAGATTTCACGAGCTAGGTACGTTTTCAACGTTATTCGGTTCGAAAAGTCGTGAAAAAAACCTGTCATTTGTGGTCCGATTCTACGATAGGGATCATGTCCACATCTCTCTCCCTCATTTTTTAATAGAACACCGTTCTCTTGCCGCAAGG